CAGGTTAGCCATCTTCCGGTAATCTGGGTATCGTCCCGCGTAACACGCCTCAGGACGGGTTCAATACCCCGCGTAAAATGCATCAGGGTTTTATGTGATCACACGTTCACAATCACTAATTATTATTTAAACCCCACGTAAAACACATTAAGGCATTTTAGGTGATCACATGCTCATGTCATTCATGCACGCTTGCATATGCACATGTTATGCCAATGTTCGAGATGCATACTCATGGCCATAACGTTCACACTTGGGCATTCAAGAAATTCACAATGAGCATTCAATTACACAACACCACTTGTTCAATTCACAACGCAATATGCTCAATTTACACCACACATATTCAATTTAATGAATCAATATGCCCAATCAATCAATTAATTCAAATCAGCTATGGTACATCATCGGCACACGAAAATCACGCAATTAAGCCATTAAACTTGCACAAGTCTAAGGTCTACCAAGCCTACCCTTTCTCGGCCACATAAGTACTCAATCCTGGCATCATGTAACCACTACCAAGCCATAAACAATCAGCCACTTAATGGACAAATCAAGCACACATAAACAACCACTACACGGCCTGATTGTTGCACCCATTAAAGTCCACATTTAGACCATGATTAATCAACATAATAATCCAATCGAGCCTACACTAGTCGGTCACCAACCAGATCACCTTAGGCCACTAAATCACCACCAAATCACCACATTAGGCCACAATAATCACCGTGAAAATAGCCACCACTCGGTCCACAAATTACACCCGCCTAATCCACATTTTTGCCTGAATCACCGCTTCCATGACCAGCCACCATGCAGCACCTCGTAGACCACTAAACCTCATTTAAATTATCACACTAAGTCACTAAATCAACCACAAGATCACCCCTAAATATTCTCCACAAATTGACCCCTAAAATACCCTAAATAACCCCTAAAACTCGTCTAGAAATGCACATTAGCCTAATTAGGATTTAGGGTTATACTTACCAAGTCTTAAGCTCCTAATGAAGGCTGGACAGGTGGCGAGGGCGGCTAAGTAGCGGCGGTTCCGCACCGGACCAGTGGCGGCGAGTGGCGGCGAGCGGCGGCTCCCTCAGCGGTGCTCGGCGGTGGCAATGATGATGGCGGTCCTAGGCGGGGGCTGATCACGCGGCTGGGGAAAAGACAGAGAGAATGGGACCGTTGGATGGTGGTGGTGCTAGGCGTGGAACGGCGGCACACGGCGGCGGCACCGGCGAGCGGCGGCGCTCCGGCTTAGCTTGGCTTCTCACGACCAAATGAAAAGAGGAAAATGGAAGAGAGGAAGTTGGCGTGGGAGGGGGAGATGGCTGGTGAAGAATGAGGGAGAATGAAGGAGAGAGAGAGAATTGAGAAGTTTGATCCAAATGGGCTTAGTGTGGTTAGGTGACCTAATTCCACTAAAAGACTATCTTGCCCTCAATCTAAGGATAGAGATTAATTCTATCTAAAATATCTAGGGGCACAATTGCCCATCATTTCCAGTATTATTGGGCTGAAACAAGCTAATATAAAACCCTAAAATATTCCCCAAATAATCCCAAAATTCGGAACACTATAATTAGGCCTAGGGCAAAATCGTAATTTTCCAATCCCGGATCAAATTTCCAATTTTCAACTCTATCGATCCCAAATATGATTGGCCATACTTTTACGATGTTTTCCTTGCAAAAATAGTCGCGTATGCCCACGAAATTCGACACCGAAGTCCGGACTCAATTCCACGATCGATTTCGCTCAATTTGCGATTTTAGCGTCTCTCAGTAACGGGCGGCTATTTAGGGGTTACGCGTATCGATCTAGGGTTACTCGAGTCATGACTGTCTCGATTCCAAGAGAACGCGAGGATTTATCGCTAGTCCCGAGGGTCGCGATCGTTCGGAATAACTTCGGGATCGTCCGCCACGTGCACTCTCGGTTGCACGGAATCACCTGCGATCCAATCGTACGTCGTTGGCCAAACTGAATCCGTCACTCTCCTTGGATTGACCCACATTGACACAAAATATTCCCTCGTCATTTTTCGGAATCGGATTCAATTCATGGTCGAGTTCTTGGGTCCACGTACCATTTTTCCTAGTTAGCCATTCCCTATTGGTCAGTATCCCGAGAATGATCAGTTCCGGACTAGACTTACTAAAATGAAATAAGAAATACATCAATTTCATTGATTACGAAAGTGGGTCGAATTCAGGACATTATAAGTAAAATGTAAAAGAGATTTAGCTACTAATTGCATAAATTAAAATAGGAAAAATTGTCCAAAAAGTCCTAAGCCATTAAACCTATTGCATTTTTGCCAATTTGATTCTAAACCTTTTAATTTTGCTAATTCAGTCCTAAATATTTTGCATTTGTGCTAATTCAGTCCATCCAGCCAACACTAATGTGGTAATTTTTTTTATAATTTTTATGGTTTTTTATTAATTTGTTCCTTTTTTCCTTTCTTTTCTTCGCTTTTTGTTTTTGCCCTTTTTCTTTCTGGCTGGTCCGGCGACAGGCTAGAGGTGAGGGGCGATGAGGATGATCTCACCAGCCTCTAGCAAAGCTCTTCCCAGCTGGCCACTATCAAGGGCGAATCTCGCTCGCCCCTGGTTGGTCAAGCCTCGCCTAGATCTGCTGAGGTCAAGCCTCACCCAACCAAGGTGAGCCGACCTTGTTGTCGCTAAGCAAGGGAGAAACCAAAGACGGCAAGGTCGGCCTTGCCTTGGTTTAACCCCGCCTCGCCAAGGACGGGCGAGGCTTGCCCTCGCCAGTGACTGGTGGGGGTGAGTTTGCTAGAGGCCGGTAAGGTCAACCTCGCCAGATTGGCGAAAGGGACGAAAGGCAGAAACAAAAAGGAAGAAAAGAAAAAAGGAAAAAAATTATAGAAAAAAAAATTAAAGTATTAAAAAACTGTCACGTCAGAGTTGGACGGACGGCTGGCGTCCACATTTGCGCCGGCCGATCAAAATTGATCGGATGAACTGAATTGATATGAATGTAAATATTTTAGGACTGAATTGTAAAAAATGTAATAAATTTAGGACATATTGGACGATTTTCCCAATAAAAATAACGTGAAGATTAGGTTGTGCGCATGTAGATGCAATTTTTTATTACGTTTATCAGGAAGTTGACTTTGTGAAGGCACAAATCTGCGCGGTCAGTAGCTAATAGTGTACGGCGGGTCCAAGAGCTAATGAACCTGCAAAAAGCCCATGGCGTTGTCCCCCCAGACGCTTAAAGGAATTTACGGTTTCATTGGGAAGATGTAACATGATACAATCGACTATATCTTCTTCCGTCTTTGTCAAAGATAGCTTCATCTAACTAGATATCGAATTAGTAAAGCTTTCATGTGAATAATGTCCATATAAATAATTTGCCAAAAGAACATTAGTTAGGACGTTTTCTCCAATCACCGCCGGAGGAAAACATGACTATATTCGGGGTTGATGCCTGATTATATATATTGAAATACCATTGGATTGACAATAGACCTCATTGCAAAAGTGTCGTATGCTTTTGGAAATATGTATGCGTATTAGGTGCATTTTGTGGGCTACTACATGTTGCATGTCTTTTATTTTAAGTTTCAACGGGCCAATTTTGTCTACTGGTAATATTTTCGTCCAATCATACTTTTGATTGATAGGCCACAAGTTATGTACATTACCAACATGCAAATTTAATCAAAAATGAAATATGAGTGATGTTAATATTTGTGTGGTTCATTAATGAAAGGTATGGCTAAAAGGGTTCCATCCAGCTAGAGTAGTAGAAAATATGGTCGTTCGTCTACATCAAATTTCATTGCTTCTACTGAAAAATATATATAAATAAGGCAGAGGTGGCGCCAGCATATGTTTAGTGGGGTGCCCCCGCTGAAATTGAAAATACCTATACCTATACGCGTACAATTTTCAAATTATGCCAATTTGACTCGGTTGTTTCACATTTTTTGACCCCACATAATTAATGACCTATTAGAATTAACATGCCTTAGTTACAAACGAAAGGTTCTAACTGAGAAACACACTTGAGTGTTACATGTTCAGGTATAGATAAAATAAATTTAGAATTCTATCCATGAACTTTTACAGCATGCGGCAACGGTCGCTAACATGCATTTGCATTGCCAAATTTGACAATAATTGTGGATGACTTTTGGACATTCGATGTTGATTACGTAATTATGTCGTATTCGGTTTTATCATGCTCAAATTTAATTTTCTCGCATTTATTTGAATCGAAATTAATATTTTGGCACATGATCTAAGCTCCAACAATATTCTTGACATTTTTTTGGCTTGTGAATTGTGTGACTATAACTATGTTGTAAATTAACTCAATTACATGTAAAAAGTTTCGGTCGATAATTGACACAAATAGGAGTTGTGGACCGACCACATAACAATAGATTGGAGGTGAAAAATCTAAATTTAAAGAGATCAATAGCATAACTACAGTAAATATCAAACTTAATGACCGTGAATGATATTTCTTGGTGTTAAAAAATAAATTTCCTTCTCTTGTCGCCCCGACGGAGAAAATCTTTTAGCTCCACCACTGGAAAAAAGAATCTTGGTTTTCTTCCATCACAAATTTGATTGGTGAGTAATCAAAATCTGAAGAATCATCCTAGAGACCGATTCAAGGACAGCAGTTGATCTACACAGGGATGGGAATTTGTTATTCACTTAAGTTTATCTCCGGGGCTTCAATTTCTGTTTTTTAAGGAGATAAAAGTGGGTGATAGGAGGCCGAGAGTTGCATATGAGATGTAGCCTGTGTTTGTCTTTGTTTATCCCATTATACAAAACTCAGAACTTTCTGTTCTGATGTCATATGAAATTATGAAGAACCACTATTAGATATTATAAGAGTTTTTAAATAATTAGATGAATGCATCATTCAATATTTAAATGATATAACGTCTCCTTACACAGCCCTTGTTCCTTTGCAATAACTACATTACTTGTATAGCCTAGGCTTGATGGACGTAAAGCTATCTATAGAAGAGGAGGGCGTTGGAATGAAAAAATCGATCCCGGAGGAGGCCAAGAAGGATGAAAGAGGAGCTTCCGTGGAAATGTTGGAGGATGAAACGGATTTTTTGAAGGAAGAAGAAATCTGGAGGAGACGACGGGAGAGATTGAAAAATGCATTGGCGGCTGTGCGAACCGCGGCAGGACAAGATCCAGAAGAAGTTTATGCAGCTGCTGAAGAACTGGCAGTTGTCATCAAAAGCGCCGATGTCGAAGGGTTCATTTCCGCGATTGAAAAGCTTGCCGATCGAACCGATCTGTCTGCCGTTTTAAATACCCTGGAGCCATGGAACCGTTCACTTCTCCACCATGCAGCAGACGCCAGCAACGACGATATCCTAAGGTTCCTGCTTGATTGTGTGGGTGACCACCTCATAGCCGCCCAAGATGATTGGGGAGATACCCCACTCCACTTGGTCGCTAGGCACGAGGGATCTACTAGAGCTGCCGAGATGTTGATTCGCCGGGCAAGAGACCTCCCCAACGTTGAGGACAAGAACCAGATCCTGAGGATGAAAAACAAACTTGGAAACACCGCTTTGCACATTGCCGTGCAACGGGGTAACGTTGAGGTGGTGCGCTATTTGTTGAACGAAGATTTGGAGCCCGTGTACTGGAAGAACGCGGGTCAGAAATCTCCCCTGTACCTGGCCATCGAGAGCAACGACTCTGCAATACATGACGTTTTATTTTCGCTCTCGTTGGAACCATCAAAGATAGAAGGCTTGCCGCCCATTCATGGTGCCATTATGCGTTCCAACAGGGGTACGTACCTAAATCTGCTTATGGGAAAAATATTTATCTATGTGTAGACTGACCTGTCCTAAATCTGTGCAACAACTTTTTGCGCTTACCTAAATCCGTTACCGGTTTTTACTTAAAATTCCCTACAGCACTTATTAAAGTAGTTGGATACCCATCGGTTAGCCACATAATAAACAAATTATTCACATTAGAACGTAATAGATCAGCTTAAGTAATACAAAGACAACCATTTCAATAAAAACTCGTCTGTTGTTGATCTTTGATTAGAAAAACTATGAATTGCAAATATTTAAGATCGACGACCATAAAAAATCTGGAATCTAACAATGACAAAGCAGAGTTATAGGTTTGAAATGAGGATAGATACTGTTAGAATACAATTAATTTTGTTTAACGGTTCACAAAATAATATACTTAGCTTTCTAACTGAGTAATCTAGTTCAATAAATGATTTATCATTTTTTTGTAATAGACTGACGTGTTTCTATCAATTATTGGGATAATGAACTAACATGCCATTAGTGGGATAATAACATGAATGGTTCCTAAACTTTTCTTCAATTTTCAATATGGTCCCTGAATTTTTTTTTTCAATTTAGTCCTTAAACTTTCAATATTCCACTCAATATAATGCTTTCATTAAAAAGTTCTGACACCATTACATAATGTGACCATAATTTCTATTTACTTGACTTTGATAGATATGGGGCATCCATGTGGTTTACATGTGGCTTTTACGTTATCTCTCTCTCTAACATGTTCATACACTTAATCGAAGGACAACATTAAGCAAATTTTTGAAAGTTCATAAATTAGATTGAACCGAAAAAATTCAGGGACTATATTGAACATTGAAGAAAAGTTCAATTACCACTAATGTCATTTCCGTTTGATTATTGGATAACAGTCAGTCAAATTTTTGTAGGGTCATATATATTTTTTGAGTGATCAGTTAACCCATAAGTGAACATATGCACACAAACATGACTTCACCACAAAAAATAATTATGCATTTTTAGATTATTGGAATTCGCACAGTATGTAGTGTTTCTTTGGCTATATTGATAACATTCACCAAGTAATGCATGTTGATACTAACCTTGCAGTCTCTTTTATTCTAAGCATGTAATTATGTATTTACGCTATCGACTCGCATTTTCATTTTGGACATGCATTAGAAATTCAAATATGTATATATAGAAGGTCCTCCTGCATAGTATATTCCCACATAAGATGTCATGACTTCAAAGTACATAGAACTTAAATGTTACTATCGAATCGTTAGGTGCAGACTATTTCTATAGAAATTGTGCGTATTGTTGAGTATCCATATGCAAAATCAGACATAAATATGTGTATTAGATTTTGAGAATGAAGTTATCACATATCATACAAAACTTAAAAGATCTGGAGTGAGAAAGCACTGAGGGAATTGCAAGGTATGGGATTCATAAATTAAGTTGTTGTTGAATTTTAACATAAAGTTATTCTTGTTTAACAAAATCCATGGATCTACGCATTTGTCCACATCAATGTACTTTAAATATAATTTCTTTTAGGGTTAATATTACGACAAACTCTAAATTGGTACACCTGTGATAAATTTACCCAAAATTAATTTTTGGATCACTAAAAATCCTAAACTGGTACACACGTGAAAAATTTACCTTCCATTAGCTTCCGTCAAATTTTTTCATTAAATTGCTGAGTTGGACGACATGTAGCGGTTGACGTGGTAAGTCCACATGGAAATCTATGGGTTAATACCATGAAAAAGGTACATCTGTGACAAATTTACCTCAAACTATTACACTTGTGATAAAAGTACCTAAAATTAATTTTTGGATCACCGAAAATCCCAAATTGGTACACGCTTAACACATTTACCCTCTTTTAACTTCCGTCAAATTTTACCATTAAATTTAGCGAGAACTCTAGATGGTCTTCCTCTTCATTGAGTCCTTCACCGTCGTCTTTGTCTAAGGTCGTGGAAATTGTGAACACTGTTTAGCGAGAACTCTTTAGTGACACTTCTAGTAATTCTAGTAGTACTCTTGACAAAATGACTCGACCAAGTACCAAAGTACTCTTAATTTGTGACTTATAAACTCTACGTTTTTCAAACTTAGAACGAGATTCTGGTCACAATTTACTTTTTTTTACTCAAAAGTTTTGGTAAATACATAATTTCTTAATTGAGCTGAACAAGTGTCGTAGACCTTTGCGAAGAAGATGACGTTCAATCTAAAGAGGGTGGAAGAATTTTAATGGGGATTTCGTTACGGTGCCGCGGAGGCTATTGCGATGTCCTTGACAATAGAATAAGTTTGCTTAATACTTGCTAGAATTTGACGAACATAATATGAAAATATCATTTTCCTTTTCTTGATCTTGCTCTAGCTTACATTATATTTGCCGACTCTATATATACTTCATGGTGTGGAAATGCCATTTAAATTGCTATGTCATTTAGTAAGATTTTTATAGTAAAATCTTAGTGCATGTGGATGTCATTAACTAGTTTCAGCATTGCAATCTGATCTGACACAGGCGACTATCAATCTCGCTAGTGATTAAGGTTCCGTCGAAGATGTCCTTATCCTGAAATGGGTAAAAAAAAGTATCAAAACCATTTAAGCCCCAACCACCTAGAATGTTAATGCGGACGTGATCCCTAATTTGGAGTTCCTGATCTCAGATTTAGTCGCCAAGATACTCGAGAAGAATGTGAAGCTATTTGCAATGACCGACTCCAGAGGCAGTAATGTATTCCATTTAGCAGCTTCCACATTTCAGTCCCATATATTCGAACTCTTAGGACCGAAAACTGAACATTTGGCCCGACAATGGGATATGAATGGGGATCTTCCCATTCATATTGCAAGCAAAATGGATAATGTTTACCAAATCGAGAAGCTACATCTGGTATCACGGTTCCCAAATGGGCAAGGGCGAACTGTTCTTCATGTCGCAGCAAAATATGGGAGAGCTTCAACAGTGAAATATATACTCAGACATCCAGAATTGGGGGAGCAGATAAATGCAATAGATCATGATGGAAATACGCCCCTGCATTTGGCTGCAATGTATTCACAACCCGCTGCTTTGATTGCTCTTTTGCTGGATGAAAGAATTGAACTCGCTGTTTCCAACAACAAATGCTTGACTGCTGTTGACATTGCTCGAGAACGATGGGCAGGGGGGCTTACGATTCGGAAGGTAGGTAACACAAACAGTCACTATTTTATTTATTAACGTACTAGAGATTTCGTAGACTAATACATTAATTAAGGCAGATCTTGTATTCAAATCATTATGTCTCCCAGTCAACGGAACAGTTGAAGTATTGATCGATTTTCTAGGATAGCCGAGACTCCTCTCGGATTAATGCTCTACAAGTCTCTAATTTAGTCTTGATAAGAGGTAGTTAATTCTTCTAAAAGAGCAGACACTGCATCTGTAGAAGTAAAAATTTTCAGAGGTCATTCCCGTTATCAATATGCTAAAAGTTTGTTCTTTTTTCCATTTTATGTTCTTCCGATCTCAGCAATTCGTATGGATGGCGTTGGCTTGCTTGTGCATTGGGAAAGTTTCACCTGTAAGCAGAGACTTAATCATATTCAGGCCGGAAGTTCGAGAGAAAGAGTATGCAGGATTAGTCCGCTCACGAAAAAAGATGCCAGACAGGAACATCGTCAACGATTCCATCGACTCCCGTATGGTGGTGGCTACGCTGGTGGCTACTGTGACTTTCGCAGCTGGTTTTGCAGTTCCTGGAGGATTTAACAGCTCAGACACGGCCTCCAAAGATGACCGGGGCATGGCTACGATGCTGGACAATAGAATGTTCCAGGCTTTCGCGATTTGCAACACCATCGCGATGTTTTGCTCAATGACCGTGGTCGTCAACCTCATCTGGATGCGGTCAATCAATGTCCACATTGCGATAACTGCATATGAGTGCACAACGCTACCGCTAAAAATTGCACTCCCGGCGATGTCCGCTGCGTTCTTAACTGGTGTCACCTTGACCGTTGGCAAACTCCCTTGGCTTGCTAACACCATATTTTATTTGGGGCTCATTTTCGTCCTCATTATCTCCGTTCCTAGATTGTTAGAGTACCCTACCTTATTTATGATCTGCGGTCGTCGTATCGGTCGTCTGACATTCTGGCTTATTCTCGCTTACATTTATTTGTGGAGACTTGGGACGTACATTTATGATGACACGGAAGATGACGGAACGGCGAGCGAGACCTCCGCTAGTCAGCCAGCGGATGGTGCTGGTGAATTGAAGACCGATGACAGACCCAAAAAAACAAAAAACATCGAAGACCGATGAATAGGCGACAGCGCAACGTGGGGACGTGCCTCATCTTCCAAGTCACTGATTTCAATTGACCATTCCATATTATTTATGATATGCCGAAATAATATAAATTTTCCTTGGTGTATGCGGCTCATTGGACGGATGCTTTCCCATTATGTCAGATCTAAGGTGATTGTTTAAGTATTTAAACTAAACAACGTCTTCCTCTAATAACTTGTTGGATATAATTTCACCTAATTTCACATGTTATTAGAGCTGAAGTTCTGGGTTCAAACCTTTTCAGGTCCTATTCGCTTCATCTATTATATGTTCTCATATTTTATTCTTAGAGCAAAGTCAATTCTATGAGTGAAGATGAGTATTTAAGTATTTGAATTAAAATTTCGCATTTGTATGATAGTTTAAGTTTTTAGAACAATTGATTATAACTCCCTGAAAATTCATAATAACACACATGTTGTGTCATTTAAATGAATGAATGGCTCATTTCATCCGTTTCATCATGCTTAAATCTAATTGTTAGCTTTGAACATGTTGTTACTCGTGGGTTTATGACATTACTCGTCTAGAGTGGCCATGGACTATTTACCCTACACCAGTCCAATATACAGCACTTTCGAGTCACGACATCCTAGGCACTCACCTACATGTCTTGTGTGTAAATAAATTAATTCTCATCACCTACTCTCTGAGTCGAGTGTTGGGTGAAGAAAACCAGGGAAAAAAACATTCCCTCCACTCCTAAAAAAAAACTCAAATTTCACCCTAACTCTTTACACCCGTTTCATTTCCCCACTTCTCTCCTAGGCGGCCAATTTCTATGCATGCAAATGAGTTGGGTGTTCGATTCGTGTTGAAGTATAATCTAGTGAGTAGCGGACGCAGAAATCTAGTCAAGAGACGAGATAAAAAGAAATTGCAAAACCTAACTCAAGGAGAATTGTGGAAAAGTAACTAGATAGGTGATTTTCCTCCTTTGATCTCTGCTTTTATTTCAATGCTAGTTGGTATTGACATGTAGAAATAGAACTCTAAAGTGATTCTAGACCGATTTATTTGACAATAAACGTAAATAATTACAAAAAAATATCATAAGCATGTTGCATGAATGTCAATTCAATTATAAAATTTTCAAATTGGTTAATTCAATCTTAAACCTTTTGACGATTTGCTAATATAGTCATTCTGAATGTTATCTTGAATTGAACAAGGTTAGGTACTGAGAGAGCATTAGTTCCATAACTAGTGTAATCAAATCTCCAAACTCATTTAAATCTCTGGTTCATAGGAGTAAGGCGATTCTCCCGTTGCCTTACTTGGATTTCTAATTTACTCATCCTAAACTGATTAGTGGCGACTCTAAGATAAAATTGATTTACGTGTTCATAACTTGAAATTTAAAGTCGCGAGTTGATATGGGTTTGAGAGAGCCCGAGTTAAGTCCTAGGTTTAGACTTAGCAATTCATTAGCCTCTTACACCACACTGTGGCCCCATCAAGGCTGCTTGCGGGGAGATCGCGACATTGACACATATCATACTTTCTCTGATTGGGGCTCACAGACCTGCAAAAATTGGTCTTTCGATACACGATATCGTGCTTTTGAGGTTGCCAAGTAGCGTTCTAGTGATACGTAAATTAAATTACACACCGACTTGTCAATAATTACTGAACTTTGATACGTGATAATAATCGGTACGAAGGATGGTCCTAGTAACTATTGAACACCAGTGGAATATGTAAATAGCTCGTTTTAAGTTACACCTGAGTTGTGTTATACCAAAGTGAATCGGTGGCAATCAAAGTTGAACGGTATGATGGCGGTGGAGCAACCAAAAAGTTACCACATTCGTAGCTTCATATTTACCAAAGCTTGCTCCAAAAGGACTAATTGAAGCTCTAAGCCTCTTTGCCTGTATGGTAGGCAACCATGATCGTTTGGGGACAGGTTAAAGCAAATAATAGGATCAGCTAAAGGGACTCAAAGCAAGAAAGGATTTATGTACGAGGTTTTATTAAACAGCAAGTTTAGAATTTCAAAGTAATATAAAATGGCCGCTTTGGTTCATCATTCGTTCGATGAACGAGTTGACTGCTTTCGATATCGCCTCTAGATCTTTGGAGGACTTTTTAATTTTGGAAGGTATGTCTTTTTCAAAATGATTAATATTTCCTTTCCTTTTGCATTTGCTAATTGTATAATATTTCCTTTGTTTATTCTAATTGTCTTCAAGCTTGATGCTCGATCACACACTTTTTAATGTATTATTTCTTAATTGGGTCCACTCTATTCAATGATGTTGTTAGTACATCAATAAAATATTCTTGATTCCTACTGCATTAGGACTGCCATTCTTTCTCAAGTTAGCTCCGAGCGTCCTTTTTGCTTCCGCACCCCACTGGTTGACCGTGGTAATTTTAGTTTGCACTTTGCACGACATCGCCCATGGGCGGCGACATATGCATCCTCCGGCTGAAAAGTAGAGTCCCGGAGTGACCAATCTCTGGCACAATGAAACAGGAGGAAGTAAAGGTCCTGCTAAACACGTGCCAAGTGGTGGCAACTCTAGTGACCACGGTAACTTCCTATGCTGGCTTCGTCATTTTTGGACTCAAATTTGAACCCATGAGCAAAACCCAATACAAAGCCCTACCGTGTGATTTAAATTAGGAAAGTCTTCATTGGACTTTTGTTGACCAAACATGTTGAAGGAATGTTCACACCTAAATTTTGGCTCATCGTTTAGAAATAATTGCACAAAAATTAGGGACTAAACTTTAGCCCCTGACAAAAATATTAAAGTTAAATTGCATAGCATTTAATTTTAAGAGCGTTTATTAAATAGTTGCATTTGTATCAGACCGGCGGCGGACAGACTTAACAGAATTTAATTGAACTGGAGTTAATGGACTAAAGTGCAGAGGTTCTGAACTCAATGGAATTAATTGGATCAAGCCCATGCGAATTAAAGATTCAGCTAAACCCGTTACTCCCTGAAGTGGTCAAGATTGACATATGCATTACGCGTGTGATAAATCGGATTTGGGGATATTTAGAAGATATCGTGAAAATCTTTTGGTCACATGGTTATTTGAAAGAACAAATATAGAAAAAGAGCAAAGTTGATTTGGGTAGATTCGTTCAGCATGGGCAGAGGAACTTAGGAAGAAAAATAGGAAAGTGAGTCGTTTTTTTCTTGGCCATATTATTCACGGGAAGATTGTGAAGCCGCGGTTAAAGGGGGTGAGAAGGAAAGAAAATCGATTTTTGCACATGTGAAATTAAAGAAAGGAAAAGAAAATAACAAAGGAGGGAAAGAAGCAAAGGGAATTTGGTCAGCATGGGGCATATATTCTGAGTAATATATTGGATACTATCAAGAAGGCCTTCACGTATCCATTGGCGTGAACAGAAAGAAAATGCCACAAGAAGGGGAGGAAAGAATAAAATGGAGATTCTAAAAGTGTACACAATAGAAAATAAGGTCTGGCCTCTTTCCTCGATAACCTTCATTCCCTCACCTACAAAAAGCGGTTCGTAGACAGAAGCTGGAGGGGGAGCGCTTTCTTCTCTCTTTCTATCAATAGCGTTATTAACATACGGTAGAGAGATAATAGAGAGCACGAGAAAGAAGGGAGAAAATATGAAAGAGCAATCCGCGAGTCCATCTCTTGGTCGTGCTGCGCATCACCAATCACAGAACTGATTTTCCTGACTACCAGCAGTCGTTGCCGTCCTTCCTCGGAGTCCGGCGATGGATCAGTCTTGCTACATCTTCCTCTGTGTTCTGGCGAGAACCCGGCATCCATAGGTCCATCCTGGCGTCCTCGAGCGCATCTTGCAGCTTGTTCCGATCAGTCCAGCTCAGCACCGGTTCACGATAACTCCTTGTTTGCAGGATAATTGAAGCCTTTCCAACAAGTCCCACGTAATGCCTTGTTTCCTGCATTGTGAGTTCCACGAAAGCCAACGGTCCGAGCCTCTCTGTGACTACGACCATTGTGTGCATCGTGTACTACGTGTCAACCGAGAAACCAGTTTTAGCTTGGAATTCTTTGTCGGTCAAATCATTACATCGGCCAAATCCCGTCCGTGATCCATATTGCCTTGGACTTGGAAACAAGATCACCATACTAGGTAACAATTCTAAACCGGTTTGATTTTAATAGTTTGTTGCCTAAAATAAGTTTATCGATACTGATGTTTTATCTTGGCATTATCCGATTAGGATTTTATTGCATATGAAATCAAATCTAATTACTAATTCGAGCCATGAGACAACGGGCCATTTTTTAATTATGTTTGATTTTTATCTCCAAGTTGAGTAGATGCTCTCTTTCAAGATTGCGATATCCGTTAATTTGAGGCGCGAGACAACGGATTATTTTTTCGGATATCGTAATCTCTCGTTTGAATTTTGTTGGATATGTCGAGTGATCTCTGCTGTGTTTAAAGTTTTCAACTAGAATTAGTTGCATGCCTCACTGCATGTTTTCGTTAATAGTTTTCGTTAAAGGAAAAATAAGAAAGTTAATTAGAATTGCTTAACTAGCTAGAAGATTAGGTAGTTTAGAAGTAGCTAGATTTCCATAATTACAATTCGGAGTCCAGTTCAAAAAGTTTCGATTAAGTGAAAAGCCAAAAAAAAATCAATAATTTAGAACTCTAGTATTAAGTTTTTACTTCAGTGCAATTTAATGCCTTTTGCATATTGAGTGTTATATTTGTTGTTTGCGCACCTGCATGAACATTTCATATGAATAGATCTAAAATCAATTCAAGCTGCTTACGAAACATTTTTTTTGAAATAAAAAAGAAAATGTATCGAAAGGGCATTAGAATAATCTAGTGTAACCAAGTCCCCGAACCTAACCTACATCTCTAGTTAGTAAGAGTAAAGTAATCCTCCCATTACTTTGGTTCGGTTTCTAATTGACCGACCATGAAATCGATTAGTGACGACTCCTAAATAAAAATAATATGCATGTAAAATGGTATGGAATAATATGCATGTAAATTAGTATGGGCTTGGGAGAACCTGAGCTTGGTTTAGGCTTAGTAATACATTAGCTAAACCCTAGGTAGTGCACCCGAGGGTAGGTCGTGACAAGCATCTATAAATCCTTGTTGAAGTTCGATTTCTAGTTTGAGTAGACTAAAATGGGATTTCTTATTTTGGATGCATATATTATATATAAAAGAGGTGGCTTTTGGTTTTAGCACGTT